GTGGCACACTCACCCAGGGTAGGGGTTGACCCTTTGATGTTCAGCCTAAGGTAGGATTTGAACTTGGGTCTACCGATCATGAGTCTGGAGCGACAACCACTATGCTACCAGTGACCGGTCACAGTGGTGATGTTTACTTCTTGGCTCACATAAGTAGTGAATATATACTGGTACTATTATCGTCAACCATCCGGATTTCTACTCATCATCTGTTGGCGATGTCTAAATTTAATTCTTCTATGTGGTACATTAACCATCTGTCAACATCAATTCTAGCAATTGAGGTTTAAGGGTCTGTACATGAAAGAGAATACATGTCCTTGATTATCACAATGATACATGTGCCTACCCAACGGGTAGCATAAATGTAGATGAACTATTAACTCACTTATCATACATGGTTCACTGGCTAATAGTGTACACAAGTGTTTAGGAAAAAGTTTTATCTGACTTACTATCAATTACCTGAACCATATTTCAGGTTAAAATAATGACTGATCGTCTTACAATATTACCAATTCGGTGGTATCATTGTTACCAAATTAAAACTCTGTTCATTTATTACCTGGAAATTTTCTCTTTTGATAAATGAAAATGGTTACTGACTTTTGTATACCATTTCCTTATACCCCCTCAGAATTTATTATTATTAAGTCGATCATTGGAATGGAATGTTGCCTTCACCTGTTTTCTGGTATATGAAACTTTGTCAGTGCTTGAAATTAACAGTGGCTCAGGGTGCACATTTGCCAAAATTAGTTCCCCACCTAGACTAGTAAAAATTTACAAAAAATATTAGTACCACTAAATATTAGTATGTACTAATATTTGTTTTTAAAATAAAGCAATTAGTTTCTAAAACTATGGATGTCCTACACAAATTGAGCAAAATGACTTGTATTTATTTCTATTCTCACTTTTCTGCATGGCTCTAAGTATCTTAAAAAACAGATATTACCATGGGTATACCAGTTTTTAAAACTGGTAGCCTGTCTGACTTCCCCAAAATGTTGTTAATTTTGAGCTCTGATTATACATATTGTCCCCGACTCCCATCCAGTAAATAGCAATTGTAGGCCACACGCCACACATTGAGTAACCCTCACATACATGGGGCTGACATGATTAGGGTTGAAGTCCATATCTCTTTATATACATGTAGTTGGAAATTAAGTTAATAACAGCACCAATTAATGAAAAATGCTAGTAAAAATAAAGTACAACTAGAAGTTTTTCAAGTTTGTAACTTTTGCCAAAATATAATTTTATTATTTCTCTATAATATTTAATTTCCACAAAATGGCTGCTGGGGGAAATTCAGAGTACTGTGGAATACTTTATTTTCGCTGGAATTATTTTTCGCTTAAAAGGCTTTTTGGGCGTTTTGCTTGGAATTTATTTTCACTGATTTTTCATGAGTTTAATGTGAAATATAGAAAAAAAGTATATTCACTGGATTTTATTTTCA